CACACACACACACACACACACACACACACACACACACACGCACACACACACACGCACACGTCTGCCTCGGTCTGAACAAGGAGACAATGAACGATGTGAAAACATTCAGGGCAAGCCGAAAGATACTAAAGAAGTCTGCCTTGCCTGATATAAGGAAGCCGCCTCACTAAACGGCTTCGTCAAAAAGTTGACAGTCCGACAAACAGGTTGGCAATTGTGACCGGGACTCGGTACGGTATCAGCAAATATTTAGGATCGAGGACTCGGACTCAGGTGAAAAAGAACATGATGGTGACATCCCTATGTATCATACATTTGCGTTTTATCATTTAGAACTGCTCGTTATTTATTTAGGTAGAATTTTAGTTTTTCTCGTTGGTTATTTTATTTTTTTGTGGAATAGATTTTATTTGAATCATTATTTAAGTATATTTAACTTTATTGAAAGGGATACTTTACAATTTTTTTCATTTTCAGCAGTAAAAAAGTTCATATTTGGTCAATAGTGAAATTGATAACTTTTCATGTACAACTGATTTTAAAACGCTTTTTGCCACTTGTTGTTGACTGAAAATGACATCCCATGTCCTCAGGGCTCAGGTAACAACCAATCAGGGCTCATGTGAAATTTGCAGGCTGAGACCTGAACCCAATGTAATCTAGATGTCATTTTCAGTCAACAGCAAGGAGCAAAAAAAGTTTTTAAAAGTGTCAATTGTACTTTGCACATGAAAAATAATGAAGTTTTTAAATTCATCCGTATCCCTTTAAGCATAGTGTTAATGTTTAAGATGTGCATCACGTTACAGTAATCTACCTTTGAGAGAAAAAAGCCTCTGTCTTGTTTGATGAACACTTTGGGCTACTATCATACTGTATGTTAATGTTGTCATTGTGATGATATTTGGAGAACCAAGTTTTTTTTGTAATGGCTCTTAGTGTAAAATGTGTGAGAACCACAGCATTCATCGATTCATGGATCAAAGATCTGTTTTGCCGTTCAGCTCCTTTTAGAGGACACCAAGTTGTGCAAAAAGTACTGAAGCGTGCATTGAGTAGTTTATGAGAGGTCAAATGAAGTTCACCTGTAAATACTGCATTTTAGAGCCATCCTGAAATTTCACCCAAAAACCAAATCTCTCCATCCGCTGGCAATAGCATTTACCTATTCCTAAATTCATGTTCATAAACATATTGGATCTAATAACGTACATTTCCCTCATGCAGGTCACGCAAGGAGAGAGACACAAACTGAAACTCAAGTGAGGCACCCAAAATCTTTCGTGCAACATAACACTTGAAAAGGTTTATCAACAGTATCTCAAAATGATTTATATTGATGTTTGTCACATCTCTCTTCGGTAAACCAGCAAAGCGGAGTCAAACCACAAGATCCGCCAACCTCCTCCAGCAGCTACATTTACAGGAAAATGAGTAGAAAGGAAGAAGAACGTCCAACAACAAGGGCAGAGAAAGAGGGAAGCTACATCATGTATGCCGCTCTCAACCACCAACTACCCCCCGGTGCTCCCATTCGACCAAGGAGGCCCAAAGAGGAAAGCTCCGAGTATGCAGATATACGAGTACTGTCTGACAAATGACCGGTGTTGGAAGATCAGATTTCACCCACATTCAAGTCAAGGAAATGACTTGTTTCACATGAGACTGAAAATAGCAGCTTCCTCTCACATCCCAGATGTCAATCTCGGTTTCGTAGGGATGAGATACGACTTTCAGGGGTCGTTGTTTCACCCCCTCATGAGCGGAAGGAGAAGCAGGTTGCATAAATCATGTGCATTGTGGGTGTGCATTGTAGGTGTGATGCTTGCGGTTTATGAAAGTGCTTGAGTTTGTGAATGCAGCGCCTGCAAAATGCTACGTGCACGGTCACGACACTCTTACAAGTGGTGCTAACTTTTGGCCCAGTGATTCTCATCTGTCCTTTGAGAATTAAAGACAGCATTCTGTCCGGATCATTGATGTTCATGCTGTTCAATGAAGACAGAAGTAAAATCAGTAAATCAATGAAATATTACCTCACTCGAGGGTTAAATGTTGCCACGTGACGCTGCGGAAGAACACCAAACTTAAATTATTATCTTCATACGATTTTACAAGGGAAAAATACATTTTCTAAGGTCTATGGAACCAGAAAACGGCGTGTGCTTGGAGAGAAGGACAACTATATTTCCCAAACAAAAACATGTTGAGAGCATCAAGAGCATATTCGGCACCTAACATTCAGTTGACTGGATTTCCTGTCTAACATCAGATAACATTTCAAAAACATGATATTTGCTGTTATCTTCAAGTAAAACCTCTGCATACTCAACACTCATGCAAGGCCCATTCTCACATGCGCACAAAACATGCACATTACAAAACATCCCACAAGAATTTGTTGAGGTCAGTCTCCCAAGCTCACTGGTCCGGCACTCTTCTCGTCCTCGACCACTAAAGCCAAGCATTTCTCAAAGAGACACAACATTCCATGGCCCTGCTCTCCCGCCATACTCCAAGTCAATATGTTGAATGCACTTTTTGAGCACAATACTCTCTCACACGTTGATGTCTGAAGGAATTCGTCTTGGATCATTCGCAAGACTGGCCTGAAAGGACAGTGCAGACCAGAGGAAGTAAGTCTTCATGCGCATCATGGCTTTTTCATTATCCCAAAATAGCTCATGAATGTAAAAGTAAAATACAATGAACAACACAACACAGCTCATCTTCGGTGAAGCATTGTGGTGGCAGCATCATACTTAGGGCCTGGTCATCATTAGCTGGAATTGAGACCAAGGTGAAGGAAACACTGACCACTTCTAAAATAGCGCTCTGTGTTCGCACAAAAATTTCAGGCTTCTGCTAGAAAGCAAAAATACAATAAATCAAGTCGGGAAAAGACTACTAGAATATCTGAACTTTATGTTTGATCAGAGATACTTTAAATGGTGGCAGGTGCGTGCCGACCAAGGTTATTATAGTTAACAAAGATGAACAAAATAACTAAAGCAAAACTTGTCAAGGGAACATTTTTGTTAGCAACATTTCAAAAAACAAGAGTGTTTTAAAAAATATATATATTGTAACCAACTGAAACTACATTGTATGCACTATATTTGTCGCAAAAATGTCCTTTATTTCTGTCTTTGTCAATTAATTTCATACATGAACTTTCAGTGTTGAGTGAATGTGTTTTTATTTCGGTTTTACTGTACGGCGGAAGGAGGAAGGTCAAACGTTTTTTGGGGGAATTGTAGTTTATTATTCAACCCTTATTCGTGACCTTTTTTAAAAATATATCTGGCACTTGACAAATACTCCTTATATTTTCAAAAACTAAAACTAATGAGAACTATTTTTTTAATGATAGATAGATGGAGTAGTTGTACAACCAATTGACATTCCTCCATTGTGCCCTTTTTATTGACGTGGTGTGTTTGTTGGGCAGGATGTGGTCCCTCCCCTGCACATCCTGCTGGCACAGAGAGGCGCCACTAAAAACACATTCATGTGGTTATGGTTCCCCTTTCGTCACCAATAAAATTCCAGATATAGGGAGAACAATTCACTCGACAAAACCTCAGGTTTTCACAGGGCTGGAAAAACAACAGTAGACACTAAAAGCCTAGTGTTTTCCTGTAAGTTTGGGTGTGTGCACTGTTCTATGTGAGGGAGAGAGGGAGTTATTTTTGTCATGGCCCGACTTCCAACTGCAGCCTCCTCCCGTCGGTCTTCCTCCCCCAACAGACGAGAAATTTACTTTTGGGCGCGCTGTAAACAATCACCCCTTGTTATTCTGTTCAGGAGGAACAAAGGAGGGCATTTGGACAAGAAGAGGCAGAGACTAAGAAATTCAGGGACTGATTTTTTTTCTAGCGCAACAAAACACACAATATGGTTAACCACTGTGATTAGGAAAACTAGCAAAAAACATAATCCTTTGATGCTGATGAGTGATATCATACAGTGAATTTAATATATGTATTTTCTTCAATTTTGGTCAAATTCTAAAGTGTACAACCTTATGGTTTTTCAACCTTAGCAGTTCTGTGTTTCAAAAATGTCATAGCACTTTATCATTCAAGGAAGGATACAAGGAATACCACCAGACGGTGTGCAAATTGTAGCCTCAATATGAGGCAGTCGAATCACTTATTTACCCACCCAGGAAATATATGAAAGTCTTGATGATAGAAAATTCCACTTGAAAAACAGTCACGGAAGTTAAATAAACAACAACAATAAATGATAACTAGAAATTTAACATTTGCAAGTGTTTTAGTGAACGGTTTGAAAGGTTGTCGAATTTGAACTACTGTGGGGCAGACGATTAAGCTAAAAGGGAACTACACCTCAAAACACAAACGTCACACTTTCCAGAGAAGAAAAGTGTGAACAGGAATGAGGGTGATGACAAAGTGACGCCACCACTGTGTGGAAAGTAGCTTTGCAACCTGGGAGATGACCTTTTCCACCTTCGTCGAACAAAACATCTTTCCAGTCTATTCCTCTCCTGCCAGGAGCTGCTGCCATTTTCTAAGTGAAGAACTTACCGCGGAGATACACACACAAGCAGACAAGAATCAGGACTGCCACCAGACTGCACAGCAAGCTGATGATGACCGTGAAGGGACTCGCTGCAGCACATAAAAACATGTATGCATGGTGTGTTGTCAGATGCGGTAGGACGAGGAATGAACCATTTCCCGCATTCAGCTACCCCATGAAAACAAAACCAGAACTACTATTCAAAGCAAAGGCCATGATGGGGACTCCTGTCATTGTGACTTGGACTTCAGTCAACTTGAGTCACCGCTGTGTTGATTGGTCACTTGATGTGGAAACAAGTGCCGTAAAAAAACAAGACTCGACTTGGACTTGGGAGTTAAAAACTTGGGACTTGACTTGAAACAACGATGACCTGACAGGCTTGTTTTTTTTTTTTTAGACGTTCACAAAAACAATGGTGGTCTTTTTTTGTCATGTGAAACATCCTTTGATTAACACCCACATAAATGACGGTACAGGATGATTATTTGAGCTGTTATGAAATTGTGTTGAATTGCAGTATATTATATACTTATCGGTCTTTTGTGTTTATGAAGATACTGCAGATCATTACTTAAATTCTGAAACAATTATGAAAGGGCGGACGAACCCGCCATCCATTTTTCAGCTGAGAGGAACCCCAGAAACTTCTTAGCTTGCAAGCTAGCTGGTGTCTAGCACCTCTTGTCTGCGTGGAAAGCCATGCCACAACCCGGTGGGACATATTCCAGTCCCCAGAGACTTTAAACAGACATATTTTTGCAGCTAAAACATGTCAGGATGTGGAGGCAGAAGCAACATGTTAGGCAACGTAGCAACCATTTTTCAGAAGGTTGTGGTTTCAGGTATTCAGGCTACCAGTAAGCAAGTGAGCGGATAGTAAGCAGGTGGACGGCTGCTTGTTTCGCTCGCTCCTTGTGGGTGTGTTGTTTTTTACGATGTGACTGAGCGTTAAAGTGAAGACTTTTTGTGTATTTTCTTGACATGGAGGATGTCGACAAGCGAGGATGCATTGCTAAGGGAGGCACTTTGCCTAAAGCCTCACCTGTCGTCAGCTATTTGCAACCCCCATTCAAGCCAATTAACGTTGTTTTGATTTAGTTGAATATAATTTTATGCTCTACTACGAGCCAAGGTTACCCTTGCGTTCCCGGCATATATAGCAATGCATTTGAGCTTGAACCAGTCATGCAACTAGTACGTGAATTTAAAACGAGGTCTGTAGAAAGCTCACCGGGTGTGTTGAGGGACACTGAGAGGGGGTTTTCCAGTCCCTTGTGGTGTACAACGCACTGGATCGACCGCTCGGTGAGCTGCCCGGACGAGAGGAGCAGTGTGCTCGTCACAGTCGTTATGCCGTCACCCTTTGAGTAGAAGGAAACAAGCGAGGTGTTGAGACTCTGGTTGTTCCCGCCAATGTTCCATGTGATCTCTGCTGCGGGCCGCGATCGTGTGGTGCAGTTGGCCTCGGTGACACCTGAGGATGAGGTCGCGTGGGTCACCTTCACCTCGGGTAAAACTGTAGGATAAAGTTAGCAAGAGCTTAAAAAAACAGCCATCCCGCCATTTTAAACCGCATTTTCTGTGGCAGATCAGTGAGATAGCTGAAATCTATGCCAGCCGACCACTCAGGTTGACACTTAGTTTGAGTCCTTGTTGAACCTTAGCCCAGAGGTGGTCAAAATTTGAGGGTCTAGGGACCATTTAAAAGGGAGAATTTTTTCCCAAGGAATCCCCACCCCCCCTCCACACACGCACACACACACTCCTAACGCCAATAAAACATAACTCGCATGTGCACCACGAAATGCCATAGGAATTCAACATAAATACTCATGACCTGTTTAACAGAAAGCAACTTCACCAAATTCAGTTCAATTCAATATATTTCAGTTGCTGACATGTATTGATTGCCTCTCTGCAAAGAAGCAAGACAACTAACCACTGTACAGTATTGCCATTTAACAAAAAAAAAAATCTCGAGTCAATGCTTGTTAAATAAACAAGTAAGTAAGTAAGTAAGTAAGTAAGTAAGTAAGTAAGTAAGTAAGTAAGTAAGTAAGTAAGTAAGTAAGTAAGTAAGTAAGTAAGTAAGCTGTCACTCCATACCTCTTTTCACTTGCTCGAAAAATGTTTATTTGAAGCTGTGCCATAACTCCGGGCAGACTGAGTTTTATTTATGCACTTGCTTCCCCTTCCTGAGTGATAAAAGGGGTGCTGAAGCATGAACTTCCCTTCTCAAAGCTGTTACATCTCATGCGCATCACAGTCCAAAACTGTTTGTATGACTCGGTGTTAAAATGTATAGGAAGTAAAAACTACGGACTTGGTCTGGCCTTTTCACCGACGACTTGCATTCTCCCAGGAAAAGACCTTCTACGACATTCTGGAGAGTGAGTCTGCACGGATTTTTGTTTATCTCTGATCCAGTTTATCTCAAGCTATGTCCTTCCGCATCAGACATGCCTTTATGGACCTTGCTTTGTGCAATATGGGAACAGTAATGCTGGAATCGAAAAGGGCCTTCCGCAAAGTGCTCCCACAAAGTTGGAAGCAGTTTCCCAAATGCTTCTTGCTAAGGCGCAGCAAACATTGTATAGTTTTAGCACTTTGTGTTGTTTTTAAACGACAACTCACACTGAAGTAATGGAGTGTCAAGCCACGAATTGACTTCAAAAGCACCTGAAGACAAAAATATGAACAACACAATGTGCTTCCCTTAAAAAGTCAGTAAGTGCTAAATGCAGGTCGTAAAAGTCTGGTTCCCTCCCAAATATTTAGAGTAACAAAATGTATACCTAACACATCAGGTTTTGATTTTAAACTTTGTTCAAATGTTTCAATGTGTGAGAAATTACGATCAAAATCTGATTTTGTTTTTTAAACAGAGGGTTTTTTTTTTCTTGTTTTCTGCTTTGATGAAAATTTTTGATTTGTAACATCTGATTTCTTACAGTTGCAGATGAATACGTTTCGGATCAATTTTTCAGTTACAAATCTTTTTTTTTCCATCTGTCAAATCTTAGGTTGAAATTTAGCATGAACGTTTTATGACAATTATCACTTTCTTGCAATAGAGACACACCAGCTCAAAGGCAGCGAGCGGCATATAATCGTACAACGTAAGCAATCTGACACATCAAATCCCATTGCAGTGTGGTTCACAAATGGCGCGGTCCAACGTATAGCATTCTATGTGCTGCAACTGATGTCCATTTCAGCTTTTCAAACGCACATTTATCAATTTGGGTGAGGTTTTGACCACTTTTTAGTGATATATGGTCTGCCAAAAATTGGAATCCCAGCACTGTCCGTACCTACACTCTTTGAATGCAACATGAACAACACAAGTGTGAGGCAGACTTCACACCCCTGATGTCAAATACAGAACACATGTCCAGAGATGAAAAAATAAAAATTGTAACAGTCAAAAAAAACTGGGCTAACACCAAATTATTCATCAACAAGCCAAAAGGAAAAAAAAATCCAAATTTGACTGAAATTATCTGATCATTTAAAAAAACACCAAATTATTCATCAACCTTTGCCGCTGTGAATTGGGAATTTCTCCATTGCGAGACTAAGAAAGGTTTTCTTATCTTATCTTAAAAGGAAAACAAAAATCCAAATTTGACTGAAATTATCTGATCATTAAAAAAATAGTTATCAGTGTTTATAACGGTTTCATCAGATTACAACAAAATCAAACACGTGTAGGGCTCCATTGAAAAAAAAGCACTGGAAATTTTGGCCAGAATTCCAGAAGATATGTTTGACCCAAACACAACAATACTAATCACCAAAATTAGGTCACACCGACAGTGAAGCATGGTGGAGGCAGCATCATGCTTTGGGGCTGTTTTTTTTCCGGCCGGGACTGGGGCATTATCAAGGTGCGGGGAATTATGAACAGTTCAAAATAGAAGTCAGTGTTCGAAGAAAACCTTCAGGCCTCTGCTAGAAAGCAAATATAAAAGGGAGGAATGACTGATACAACAGCTTGACTTTTTTGGGGTGGATTGGAGGCGATTTAAATGACGGCAGCTGTTTCTTTCCGCCCAGATGAGATTGATTCATTCAAGAATGAATACTCTTTGTGGTGTCAGTCTGGAAAAAAGGTGGTATCAAACATCCCTCCCTACAATGTACTGCAGTCTTTATAGGTGACCTCAATTTGACCTCTTTTAACCTTGAATTCTTTTTGATATCGTTAATGTATGTATTTAACAGTGATGTAGTAAATCACTGAACTATCTATGGCCAGATTAAGGGATGTGATTCAGTCCTTCTGCCTAAACTCACCATAAACAGAAAGGCAAGTGGTGCCTCTCCTGGTACCATCTGGGAAAGTGTGGAACTCGCAGGTGTAGCACGCCTCGTCTTCTATCGTAACCTTCTGGAAAACCAGCTGGGTGTCACCAAGGCTTTTGCTTAGGCTCAGGCGACCCTGCAGCGTCTCCTCTACGTTGTAGTGATCTTTGGAGTAGGACGCCACGGTGGTGCTGCTGCCCTGCTCAGCCATCTTCCTCCACAAAACCTGGAGTACCCGCTCAGGCAGGCTGTACCAGCAGGACAGGGTAGTAGGCCTGCCGCTCACGGCCACCTTGTTGCCATCTAGATGCACCCTGGCTGCAACATAGAAAATATTGTCGTGTCAATGCACGCTTTCAGTTAAATACTTTGCTGTAATCAGTAATGGTTACTGGTTCATGATCGTCCATATTGCTGCGGTCCCTTTGTTTTTGGCTTAAAATACCCCATAATCTAAGTCAATCAAAATGCCAACTGCAGTTGACTAAACCGTTACGTCATTTTTTTTTTGTTTGTTTTTACATTGTGTCATCCTGTATGGAGGTTGACGAAAGCAATGCCCCTATTCTGACAATGGAAAAAGCACAGATGTGTGTTTTCAAATGTAGGGAGTAAAAATAAAAAGCTGTCAGAAAAATTAAGACTCAAGTAAAATACAGAAATCGAAACTCAATAATCTACTCAAATACATGTACAATTCATTATTCGTAAGCTCTTACTTCCCTAACCACTGCTAAAGAATGAACTCACCAGTCACGCTGACACATGTGACGCCTTCTTGTGAGCCCGTAGGAAAGACGTCGAAGATGCAGCGGTAGCAGCCCTCGTCTTCAGGCCGCACCTTCGTGATGGTGATGTAGCTGGAGTTCTTTTGCCAAGAGGCGAGCTTCACGTTGGGCTCTTGGTGGCTGATGTGGATTGGCACATTGAGTTGGTACGCCAGCAGGAGCTTGTTTTTTCTTAGCCAGCGCACTTGATGGACACTGTCGCCCGTTGCCATGGTAACATTGCAGCCCAATTGAAGGGGTTGGCTTGCCTCAGCAGTCACAGTGGCAGAAGATAAGACCTCACCTGAGAAAATACATATTATCTTTCAGTGCCTTTGACGTCTTTTCAGGTCAAATATTCATGTGAACTGGGAGGGCTGGCAGTGAATGAGCTAGTAATGTATGTGACACCTTCTGCTTTTTCACTCTTTGAATGATTCTTCTGATGAATGGCTTACAATTTTGAGAGCTTTGACATCCCAGAAAACCAATTTTGCAAGCACATTTCCCAGGAAAAATGCACTTTTGCAAAATTTGCAAAATTAACAGATAAAAACCCCTCAGAGAATTTTTCCCCCCCAAAAAAGTTTTTAGGAGGTTGAGAGGGAAATTAATCAAGAGCCCACTTGTCGTGCACTTCACAAATATGTGACTCCAATTTGAAAATAGCTTCTCCTTAAACCATCTAATGTACCCACATTAGGGAAATGTAAGTTTGATGATATCAAGATTTAGTAAAATGGAGCTTGCAACTTTAATATTGTATCTGTCAGGTGACGTTGTGGATGAGTAAAAATATTTTCATAAGCTAAACAGGCTAAGATTTGACACGGGACATTTGTGAGTAAATTCAGATGAGACGATCAATACAGTATTTTAATACATATACTGTACTTTTCATGACACTTTTTTGGTGTTGTGCAGTGAAACTGTTCTAATACAGGTACTGTATATGTGCCCTGGCTCAATATAAAGTCCAGCCCCCGTGAAGTTGTTCCAATTCAGAATTCTATCATAATTTCCCAGAAAGAAGTACCTCTAAAGTTATATAAATCACCACAAGAATCTCAGTTTCGCAACTTAAGTGTTTAGTGTTGGTTTTGCAATGCTTCTCGCCTTTTACGACAGGTCCTAAGAACCATTTCTCTGGAGGTGTCTACCTGCAGCACTTCATTTCGTGGAACTCACTCTCATGCAGTTTTGACAAGCAATGTAGAGAGCATCATATAATAGGGTATACTGTATGTTGCCCATTTGGCATCCATTTCAGCTCTGTTATCTGGGAGGGAGATTCCCCCACCCCTGCTTTTTTCCTTTTTCCTTGTCTGGAAGGGTGGTTTCAAACCCTTTGAGACTGCTGTGATTATGGGCTATACTGTATAAACCAACTTGACTCGATTTACATTGTCATCATGTCTTTGCCTATCTACATTTAAAAAGGTTGTTTTGGTTTCTACCATGTTGTTACGTTATTCTCAAAACGGTATGATGGGAAAGGGATTTTAAAAACATTGCATCGAAAAAAAATACAATTCAATAAGTTCAGCCTAAGTCAAGATGGCGCCCGAGTAGGCAGCCGTCAGCAAGTGCTCTCATGAGCCTTGCTTTTTTTGTTGTTTTTGTGTTTGTTTTGTCACTTTGTGTTTGTTGTTACGTCGTGTGGACCTGATGTGGACTTTTTTCAGCATTTTTTGGCCACGACATTCATCAAGGAGGAGACTCTGTGCTTGGTGGTTGCGCCTTCTCGGCAGCATGGGTATACCAGCACTGTTTTTGACTGGGAGGAATGTCGGCGCCAGTTGCTGGACAGTCCCGGGGCGCTTGTGTCTTGTGCCTGTAATGGGCAGCATTTTTCACAGCCCCGCTTTGTTCAGCGGAGAGATCGGTGCTGTTGAACGGTCTGCGGCTGGATGGATGCATGGCTTGAGGAGCCGACAATGAGAAGAAAGGAGCGTTAGCGCGGAGCGCCGATGCGGATTTGGAACTGGGAGTCGCGGCTTGGAGTTTGAAGCGGATTACGTGGGACAGGAGAAGTGAACTATAAAACTCTTTTCGTCAATGGACGCTCCAGCTTCGTGTTTGCTTTCAAAACTTAGCTTGTAACAGACGTGTGCACATTTTCAGCATGACGTCTCTGATCCACTGGTGAAAGGACACTTTGATCCTCTCCTCTTTCATCTATAACTGCTTCAGACAACAAAGTGTATGCAGAAAAGTGGTGAAGATTGCACGACTGTCTTGTGTCCTATGTGTTGTGTTGTGTTATTTTTGTTATTTTGACTTCAAAATGGCGCCGCGAGAGTGGCTGCCTTTCCAGCAGCTCCTATATTTTGTTGTTCTACTTCTTCCTTTCATAACTTTGCTGCTGTGAATTGGGAATTTCTCCATTGTGAGACTAATAAAGGTTTTTTTCTTTTCTTTTTCTTTCTTTCTAATCATGGTGCAATTGAGTTCCTTTATTTCTATGGGAGAATTTGGTTTAAGATGTTAAAAATGTTTTTTTAATCTGTGGGGAAAATGGTTTTAAAAATCGTTTTTCACTTTTTTAAACGTAAAAACTGAACTACAGTACCAAGTATGATGTCCTGGGATTACATCTCTTAGTGTGGGGGGCCTCATTCGCAGAGGAATTGCGAGGATGTGCAGTGTCTTCTCAAAACATCTCTCACTATTAGCGTGTAATGTTGTTTGTATCTAACCTTGTGTGATGGATGTTCCTCCGATCCAGAGTAGCAGAGTTAAACGCAGGGAAAGTCCAAACACGTCTAATTGCAGGAAGCTCACCAACTCCAAAATGTTTTCCATCGCACCACCTGATATTCATCGTTTTACAGCCATCAGAGTGCAGCTCTCACTCATTCACTTCAACACAGAGCCGGCCCATAAGATATCAGGCAGCTAAACCCCACAGCCGAGCCCTGCCACTCCTCGCACCAGCGCAATTGCCTGTAACCAAAGGGCTGGAATAAACAACGTGACGTAAAAGTCGCTCATTTTGATTTTTTTTAAATAAAGCTTTCTCCAAAGCATTGAGAATGAAAAAAATCAACACTATTTGAAACAATTTTTGTCACCTCGGACCAGGTGCCTGTGTTCACTGAACATTGTTTGAATATCTATTGAACGAAGCATTTTCGTCTAAATCGTTCATACCCAAGTGATTTTATTAGTGGTTGCACTTTATTGCTCTTGCACTACACATTTTAGCATATTTTTATGTCTCTTTGAAACAAAATGACGTTTTAAAGCAAATGCACAGTACACTTGGAATTACTTTTTAAGTTATTATCACACTTACCTTTTTTCTTGCAAATCCGGTAGAGAAAACAGGTCTTTGAAGTGCTTGTAACAAGAATGCTCGTCGACACAGGCTTGAAATTAATCCGCATTGCGAGAATTAAACTGTATCGATCCAATTTTCCGCTCCATTTATACGTCCTATGCTTTTCTTTTGGCCACTCATCTGTTTGCCTGAATGTGAACTGCACACAGGTATTTCGCCGAATAACTCAGTAAAAATGGCAAAGAGCAGTTAACGGAGCAATTAATGCAGTAAATGGCGAACTGGTACTCGGCATTCTGTAAATGACGTCACTTGCCGGAGATTGCCGAACACGAGCATTTTCGTTGTACGTTGCTATGGGTCTTACTATGAATTTGGGTGGCTTACCTAAAAAAAAAAATGCTTGAAATAGTTTTAGCTCTAAGCATGACTCAAAAGATGATTGGCCAAGTTTACTTCACTCTTAACCTTCATTGAGAAATCCTGTAGTCTCATCTGCGAGGCGTTTTGGACCAATTAGATTTGAAAATGGACATCCTGCGTATCTTGCAAATTCGATAAAAGGCCATCAAAGATGAAGAAAATAAAACTCTACATCTGGCATACATGGCAGGCTGGGAATGGAATCCCACCAGATCAGCACACACCGAATGTATAGTAGGTATGCAAATGATTTTACATTATTACAACATTTTGTAGAGCCTCCAAAAATCTAATTTTGGTTGGGCTGAGCTCTCCCTGTCACACAGTTTGCTACCAGAGTAAATGTAAACTCTCCAAAAGTGGAAACAAAATACATGAATAGCAATGACTGGGTAAAGACTGTCAGTGAACATTTGTTGGTAGCCTAATATGAGCTGTGGATAAACCCTCAGACACAGAAATTGAGACATGAAAGCCGAATAAAACTCACTCAAGGTCAGACTGCTGTTATTAGTGAATCTCGGTAACATGTGTGCCTTGTATCATTGGTGATCTGAATGTAGAGTAGGAAACGCTATGACTGCTTCCATGGAGTCGCGAGTAAAGAGTGATGAAGGATACCCAAAAGCGTCCTCCAGCGCTTGATTCAAACGAGGAAAAGTGCGAGCCCCAGTGGCCATTTTCTGTTCTTGCAGTCAACCGTACTCAAGTCGGGCTGGTTCTTTCTCTTACTCAAACACAAGTCGGATGCATCGACACGTTTTATCTTGAATCAAAGAATTGTCAACATGTTTTAGTTCAACAACTTACCAAAATAGGGTCACAGCCAAAGAAGGCATTGCATTGAATTTGCAGGAAAAAAAATTACACCATCAACAACATAAAAGCAGTGCTAAGGTGAAGAGAAACTGTGAATATAAATAATCATATAAATAATGTTCAGTGTACACAAAATACTTTACAGCGGTTCAAAAGTGCAAATAAGCAAAATCATTGCCATAAAATGATAAAGAATCTTTCTAATTATGTGAGCAAATAACCTGTATGTGCTACAGTGAAACTCCTCTAGAACGAAACCTGCATGGGCGAAAATACCCCCTTATGTGAAAAAATCTTCATGCATTAACACAATTCCCATTCTCCTGCCCCCCATACGACGAAAAACCCCCTGTTGCGTTATACGAAATCATTTTGTCTGCTCCAGCCTCGCGAAGACATTCACTACAACGAAGTCTTATCCAACAGCGACCTCTACTGCTTCGTTCGAAAAAAGGCAACAGCAACCACCACACTGGTTTACATAGTGAACGATGTTTATTTCGGTCACAGCTGCGAGTTTCCTGGGCTCAACATACTCATAGCTGCTCTGCTATTGGCTTACCGAGCATCATCCTGGCCTCCGATTGGCCAAGAGGCCACATAGACCTCACTGTCTATGTATGTAGATACTGAAGCTAGATCCGTAGCATCCGATTAGCTGCTCAGAGTAAATTGCTTATGGCTCGACGGACATTTACTTTACTTTTTATCATGCTAAAAACACCCACGGGACGCTTCGTAGTCCTCGATGGCCATAGTTAGCTCTCGAAGGCTAAAAACCTTACGCTAACTGGAGCGCTAATGAGAGAGAAGCGCTCCAGTTAGCGTAAGGTTTTTAGTCTTCGAGAGCTAACTATGGCCATCGAGGACTACGAAGCGCCCCGTGGCTGGCTTAAAAGGTTATTGCATGCCAGGAAGAAGTTGTTATTGTTAGATTCAGACGAGGATGGACGTTGCATTGCTAAAATGGCTACAAAACGGACCTTTTGATGTCAAGCAGCTAAGACAAGAAGAGCTCTGATGCTGGAAGAGAGGGTAAAAGTGATCAAAATGAAAGACGGAGCAAGCAAAATAAAATACATTTTCCAAGAAATTGATGTAAGTGAAAGTGAATGCTGATCGTAAATTTCGCAATTTCTTTCCCTTTTTTTCTTTCTACACTGACAATATGAAGTGTCAAATAAGTGTGTGCTCATACTTATGTACTATTGGAATAAAAATAGAGTACACAAACGTTTGTGTGTGCGTGTACACATACGTTTGTGTGTGTGGGTGTGTGTGTGCTTACATCTGAGATCAAATTTGCTACAGTGAAAAACCCCCTGTTGTGAAAAATTTCTTGCTGCAAACATGATTTCGTTGTAGAGGAGTTTCACTGTATCACTCTCCCACTTCTGTGTAGTTCAACTGAAAAGTCCCACTAGAGGGCACAAAAACACATTTTTCGAGCTTATAGCTCATGAAAGAGATCAAAACGCCTCAAGTACCTCCCCTTCCATCTCAAACACTAATGGAAAAACCTAAAAAAGCCTTCAGATTTCTATTTCCTTCCTGCAAAAGAAAAAACAACACGCTGGAATTCCTTCAAAAATCAAACATGAATCTGTGTAAAAAGGAAATAATAATGACAGTAGGTTTAAATTAGGTACAAAGTTGGGGCACTTCCACCAATCGCCTTCAATACATACTGTACAATACGTCCCGTCGTTGCTACATGTTGCCAGGGGTCATGGTTGAGATGACAAACTAAACAGTTCGTCTGAAAATATCATGCCTAAGAGGAAGAGGAAACAAAACAAGGAACTTTACGAATACAAGTTAGTCAGGATGTTCTCTTTTCTAATTACACTGAAAAGTCCCTGCAAAGTGAAAATATAAATGTCTTCCAAATGTGACGAACCACAAAGATGTGTTGTCAACAACCCTTATAAATCAAGCCGTTCTCTTTGCTCTAGAATGCTGTGGTCACGCCCCGTTCACTTGTCGTCTGTCAAACAAATAGCGCTACATCTAGCATCTTTACTTTGCCTAAAAATCTCTGTGTTTACGCTGTCAAAATATATGTGATTAAGCCTATGGTTGCTGGAATATATCTGAGAGTCATCACAGGGCCTTTCCAAGCTATGACAACGAGACACTCGAAAGCTGCCACACTACAATACTATTCGAAGGCAAGATGCTGTTTCGGGATATAATTACCGGTTTAGCTAGCTAGCTCACAGCAGGTTGCAACCGCGCTCGGTAACCACTGATACATCAATTAGTACCATTTGCAAAGAAATCTGTTTGTTTTCCCTTGAATGTAATACAATACTGTACTTAGCTGCTCGAAGATCAAACGTCAGAGTGAAGACAGAAACCCAATAGTGGTGAAAAATCTTAGTATTAATCACGTTTCAGCGAAACAACGTCATATCACAATATGCACATACTCTTTCTGAGAGAACCGCTATAACTCACCTCTTCCGTGCTCTTACAATGATGATTCCTATGAGGCCCATCAAGGCAGCAGCAGCAACAACAACAGCAACCACAACGACCACAAGAGTCTGTCCGGTTTTAGACACTCCTCCACCTGGTTTAAAAATACAAACAAACAAAAAACACACTTCAAGCTGTGTTCATATTAGCGTTGACCACAGCACATTCTATTGCAAGTCAAAACATGAAGACTAAGTACATATACCGAAGATGAAGAAGCTGTTGAAAAAAAATAGTAAGTATCCTAACATTTGTATCATAACATACATTTTATACGATTCAGATGTAAATATCTGGGGGGAAAAAACTTCTTATTCATCTTCTGATGTCAAATGATTTCAGTTTCAGTTGACAGAAAAAAAAAAATTGGCTTCCCTCTTCTCATAATTTCGTTAGGGAGTGCATGTACCGCCTTTTGATGTTGGGCCTATTTCATGTAGACCAGGAGTCAGACAAGCAAGATTAAAATTATTTCACTTTAATTTGGCGGCCTGACAGTAGATGAGTTCAAGTGTGTTATGTGAGGTCAATGCTCAAACTTCAATCCACTGACATTGACTATTTGTCAACAGCTCAGCAATGCGAAAGTGAAACTGGCTCAGAGTTGCACTTTCATTATGATCCCAATTACTGGCATTGGCTCATTGCGGGTATGCGTGATGACGGAGTAAATAGTTTCAGGAATTGAAATCCACTGACTGATAAGTATAATCTGACAGATTAGATATACACCGTAAATGCCAGCCTTACATCATGAAAATACAACAATCACACAACCTGTGCACATCGGCTTTAATTTTGAACTACAGTGAAAGCCATATGGTACATGATCGGTGCCAATCATTAAATAAGTAAATATATTACTGATGGCGGCAAGTAGAGTAATGCAGAAGATACCCTCAAAACATTCATTGAGAGAGGAAAGGTTTGCACAGCCCTACTAATGGAGATGGATTGTTTCGTATTTGCCTCCATGTTGTCACTGCCTAGCATTGATGTAATGTAATTTGCAGTGGTTAGGGTGCAATTTGGGCGTTGGCGCATGTCGATGGTTTCATCTCACCAGCAATGTGTAAACATAATGACGGGTGTCACGTTTGTGTCATTAGAAATAATTGTCAAGTGGAACCTGGCTTTTCGTGATGAAACCACACCAGGAAGTCATACTAAAACCGAACCAGAGGCATTATTTCCCCATAGAAAATAATGTAAATCCAACTAACCCATTCCAGACACCCATCCATCCATTCGTCCCTCCATTTTCGAATACGCTTATCCTCACGAAGGTCGCGGGCGTGCTGGAGCCTAACCCAGCAGTCATCGGACAGTATGAGGGGTACACCCTGAACTGGTCTCCAGCCAATTGCAGTGCACAGAGACAAACAACCACTCCCGCTCACGGTCACCCTCAGGACAATTTAAAGTGTTCCATTAACCTGCCATGAATGTTTTTGGAATGTGGGAGGAAACCGTAGTACCCGGAGAAAACACACGCAGGCAGAGGGAGAACATACAAACGCCAAACAGAAAGGCCAAAGCCGGAATCAAACCCTGCCACCTCTGCATCGTGAGGCCGAGTCGACCACCGTTCAAGTTAACATCACTTTTACCTTTATCAACTATGCTTGATGGCTTGTGGAAGATGGCGAGGAGGGGAGAGGGAGGAGCAATTCTCATATTTTGTTACAAGTTCTTCCGGTCGAATTGTGTAAAAACATTCAACAAACAGCAGAGTGTATTTCACAACAGAAGCTTCTATGAACAATTAAATGCAAAAACAACTCTCCTGGTCTGTTCGGCAACATCAGCATAACACATTCTACAACATAATTTCATACTACTAAGTTTGAAGGCCATACTTTTTTGTAGGATGTGTTACGCCAATGTTGCCCAAAAGTTTCCGAGCATATTGGGAGGCTTGTTGTTACCTTCAGTTGTTTAAAAAGATGTAAAATACATGCACCGTGAAATATGTTTTGCTGTCAGTGGAACCCTGTTTACGCAACTTACAAAATGCTTCAGACGAACCTGCAGGATGATCCTCACTCCAGGAAAAGGCAATCTGACTCAAGTCGCAAGCATGTGTGTGGCATGGTGCATTGATTCCACAAAATGAATAGCTCAGTCACACTTTTTCATATGAAAACTGAGTGGGCGTACAAAAAATGGAACAAAATTTAAACAAAAAAGTTGTTGAAACCAGAATCTTACGAAAACTAGGATGGACGAAAACTGAGGTTCCACTTAAATGTAAATCATCAGTCTTTATCTAATTTTTTTTTTAAAAAACGGATCGAGGCATTAATCGGATGCAGGCACTTGAACATTTAGGTTATCCAAGCCTTAACAATGTGCATACCAGTCTCTCTGTCTTCCACCATCTTCTCCCAGCCAGCATCCCAGGAAAAAGGGACCCTCTTCATCCTTTCTCCCCGACTGCCGCTCTGCACCACACATTCTGCATGTCCGTCCCAACTCTCGGTCAAGCGCAACGTGACATTCTGACTCCTGGTGAAGGTGCCGTCGCGGTTGGCTACTGTGGTGGGCGTCGTCTGGTGCAAAGCGGTGGAATTTGGCGAGAAACGCCAGCGGATGGTTGGTGCTGGTTTCCCGGTGGTGGAGCAGCTGAACACAACTGTTGCGGTTCCATCGGCAAGCTCGCTTTCAGGATTGTGTACCTTAGCTTTCAACTCAGATATTCCTACAAAATTGGGCGAGTCACACTAGTCAAACGATGAATTTCACATGTGAAGTAATCTTCTCAGACGATTAGTTTTACCTTGCACGGTGAGGCATGTCTGCTTTCTTTTGGAGTCTCCTGGGTACACGTTGAAGATGCAAATGTAACAACACTCATCCGCCCACGTGACGTTCTTTAGGGTGAGGGACGCTGAGCTGAGGGATGTCTCATTGAGAATCACCTTTCCCTGGTACAGCTCATTGATGTGCTGGCCAAACAGCTCACTGTAGGACCCGAGATTCTCAACGGGATTACCCCGTAGACGCCTCTGCCACGTGATCTGGTGCACACCTGAGGCGAGGCCAATAAGACTTAGGGGAACGCCTCGCAGATCAAACACATCAGCTGACTGAAGCTGTGTCGAAAGCAAAAGAGTGTGCCATAAAACGTTTTCAACAATAACATGACTGATTGATGTGGCGAATGCTGAGCGGTCACCTCGCCAATTTTCATTTCTGTTAGGTTTGGGCAGGGTGTGCAATTGATTGTTGTGGTGCATCTTATTTCGGTTGTACCCTTTGAGTGATTGCCTTAATTTCTCTGTGGCTAAACCCTTGACTACACATTTTTGAAATACAGTACTGTATAGTTCAAAGCAAATGTTTATCAATGCTAATCAGCAATACAGTAAAGAAAAAGCCTATATGAATAGTTTAAAGCATAAATATAGCACAAATTGTGTTCCCCAAACATTTTAATATAATTTCAAATCGATGTTACATTAAAAACAAAATTACAGATTTATAGATGTTTTGATTTTGAAAAAAAAATACACAAGAATGTGTTTACATGCAGCAAAGACTTTTCCTAACTTCCATGAACCAGACAGGCTAAACTTGGCTCCTCCCCAAAAATTCAAAGCTTATATCACTCAGTCAAACTGTATTACTGTGCTTCAACATACTTCCTTGACAGCAGCCCAGCTGTGTTAAGGGACTCGTTTGTAACATACCCTTCTGGTTCTTAAGCTCACACTTGTAGTATGCATCCTTGCCGTATTCCACTGTTGTGTCCCCAAAACTGGTTATCTGTGGACTGGTAGCTGTAACACAAAGCAACGTCGGTCTTAGTTGCAGTAAAAATGCCCTTGTGCACAAATCATGACGATTTTGGGCAAGCCAACCAGGGGCGTCACTAGGTTTCAAGAACAAGGGGGGCTTAGCCCCAAGGGGAACACAGCCCCTTTAGGGGGGTCCGGGGGCATACCCCCCTGGGAGAATTTTTTTCTACATTCTGTTAAAAATCCATCAATTCCGTGCACTTTGAGAGCAAAATGAAGAGGCTATGAAGAACTACACACATCACATTAGTATCCTCTTTACTATGATGGGGCTTCCTCCCCTGGACTTTAACGGGACTAGATAATAGAAATTATAAAGAGTTCAAAAGTTCAATCTTGGTTGTTCAAGGGAATTAGAAGGATGCCCGATAACATAACCTATATGACAGTAGGCCTATATTCCTCTCTACCAAAATGTATTAATATATGCTTAGCCCCCAGAAGACTATGTATTTTGAGATGTCTGCCGCGATATGCAATTTAAGTTAGTACAATGAGATGCAAAAGCTTCATCACTTTGGAAAAACACAAGTTTGCTGCCCAATACTTACTGTAAGCTCCGATTGCATTTTGGGAACAGCCTTGCAAGTAAAATTAGCCTTGAGATCTGATAGACTCCCCTGTCCAGCAGAGCTCCCCCCCCCGGCTCACTCTCTGTGCGTCTTTAGCCTGATTCCTATCAAATAAATA